CTAGAAGACCCTTGATTCCCTTGCTGGTTAGAAGACCCTGGTTTCCCTTGCTGGTTAGATGATCCTGGTTTTCCTTGCTGGCCTGAAGACCCTGGCTTGCCATGGTGGCTAGATGATCCTGGCTTCCCTTGCTGGTTAGAAGACCCTGGCTTTCCTTGCTGGATAGATGACCCTGGCTTTCCTTGCTGGTTAGATGACCCTGGCTTCGCTTGCTGGTTAGTAGACTCTAGCTTCTCTAGTTGACTGGAAGATCCTAATTTCTCTTGTTTATTAGAAGTTTCTGGACTCCATTTCAGGTTTGATTCTTCTGAATTTCCTTGCAAAAACCAAGATCCAGGCAAACCGGGCTGGCTCAAACCTTCTGGCCTCCCCTGCTGATGAAAATTACCCAGTTTCCCTGGCTGGTCACGTGATCCTGGTTGTCTGTGAAGACTAACCATCTTTGGTTTTTCTTGAGGGCGACTACCTCCTTGCTGAATAGATTCCCTTAGTTTTCCCGGATAATTAGCTTCAGTTTTTGTCTCTAGAATAAGTATAGGTTCTTTATTTTCTTCTACTTTGTAAAAACTGGGTTGTGAAATCTGGGTTGAAGACACTGGAATATTAGTACAAACACAAAATTAAAATTAAAGTTATTTAAGAACTTACAATAAACAGCATTCACCCCAAGATATAGTTTGTATTTAGTGCCTCCATGATTTTTTAATCAATCAAATCCCAATTAGTGTCTTCCCATTCTTTCTGTACCTTGGATATTTTCATTCCTGTATATTTTTTCTTGACTGCTACATGGTTTCCAAAAATTATGGCATCTATTCATATGATACCTAAATCATAGAGTTTGAGTTATAAGAACTGGCCATTAATTCTAAGCCAAATTCCTTTTCCTATTTTTCTGATAAATCAAACAGACTCTGGGTAATGCTTATTTGAAATTTCCTCCAAATCACAAAATCCATTCTCAGTTTCCTAAACTCCTTTTACAGATGATACTATCTCCAGCTTTCTAGACATAAAGATTGACAGGCATGAGCCCTGATGCCATCTTCTCTTCTACAACTTGGTATATATTTTCTATAACTATCTTCCTTCGTTTTCCTCTGACTCAAAGGCAGCAATTTCTCCCACCTTCATGGCATGATTTTGGTTTTTAATCAACACCCTTGTATCTTCAGTTATTTTAAGTAAAATCAAATGCACCATGAGTTGTCACCTGTTGGACATGCTATGCTATAGAACTGCAGGTAAGGTCCTATTCCAGGCCTAGGAGTTTAGCAGCTAGCAACACGCCCTACTAAACCATGGCATAGTGTGGAGTAGTGTCTGTGAGAGTAATCTAGACATTCATAAAATATTAAAAAATAATAAATTAAAAATATATATACATATCAATATAGTATATGGTGAGAGAGGAGCCACTACTACGCTATGACTTTAGTAAGAGGTAGAGATACAACCATGAACAAGACATTTATGACTTTTCATCATGATATTGAGAAATCTGGTGGTGAATATAAACATGTAAATAGCAATTTATAGTAATATGGTCAAGGCTACAATATGAAAAGTAAACAAGAGACCTCTAATAATGATAGCAGGTGTGGTATTTTTTTCTCTTCCTTAGAGGAGGTGACAAGAAATGTAGGATGCAGTCAGAAAAGCGGATCAAAAAATCATAATTTCAGGAAGACATGGGTATATGCAAAGATTTTGATTTCTAGTAATCAAATATCATTCATTAATAGACACTAGCATCAAGGAGAAATCAATTAGAGCAGAAAGGAGATGAAATGCAAAGTCTAGGTTACTAAAAAAATTTTATTATTTATTTTTAGTTTTAAAATAAGTGACATATGCAAATGCAACTAGGTCCTAAAGATGTAAAAATATAAACTGTTTAGAGTACATTTTCGTCCTTCTCTGTCCCAAACAACTGATTTTTCTATCTTGTACACAATCACATTTATCAGAATTTTGTAAATTATTCCAGAGATTGCCCATGTATTTATAAACATATATGATTATGTTTTCCACAGAATTAGTACCACAATCTACTTACACTGCTCTATTCCTTATTTTCTCACTTGATAATACAGTGGAGCTTTCTCTGTATCAATTTGTACAGACCACTTGGATTTTTTCCATTGATGGTTGCATACTACACCATTTTATCCGTATATCATAATTTATTCAGTCTTTTGGAAATGAGGATATAGTTTATCTCCCTATTTCAAGTAATTATTCCATCAAAATCTTAATGATAACTCATTTGTTATTTACAGGATTAAATAGAAAAAGTATAATTTTTGAGTAAAAAAGGTAAAGAAGGTATCAGATTATGGTTTGACCATCTATTTTTTTAAGTAAACAATTTAGAGAATAATTATCTTCAGCTTTGGATTTTGTCTTATATGTCCCCTTCTCATTTACAAACTCTAGTACATGCTGGCATTGCTTTTCTCATACCTCTTTCTTTATTTTCTCTACCTTCCAAAGTCATACAACACTAATCTAGTTTTAGCACATATTTTACCATCTACAAATGCCTGCTCAGTACATGCTGTTACCAGCAAAGCTCTGAAAATATGCAACAGGTACAGCATCTGTTACCGTAGAACACAGTTCTAGTGTGGGATTTTCTCTTTATGGCCTTTTTTTCCCTCTAAAACAAATATATTCTTGGTCCTCTCTTCTCTCATCTCATTCCTTAGTTCTTGGCTCTTGTTCTGCAACTCTGTTACTTTAGCAGTTCCCTAATGGCATCTTGTACAACTTTTCTCACACTTAATGCATTTTTAATATTACTACATGTCCAATATTTCTTATCAAGAATGGATGTCCTAGGCATGGTGATGTAATCCTAGAACTCTGGGAAGCCAAGGCAAGAGGATTCCAAGTTTGAGCCCAGGCCGGGCAATTAAGTAACTTGGTGAGACTCCAAATCAAAACAAGAAAATTAAAAGCTGGTGGGAGGTGAGCCAGGGGCACTCTGCATGTATCTCAGTGAGAAGTACCAAAAAAAAAAGCAGAAAAAAATGAAAATAGTAAAGAGTAAATAGTAAAGTACTGTTGTACTTAACAATAGCAAACCACTCTTCAGTGCTTCCAGTGAGAAGACAACCACTATTTCTTGAGTTGCAAGTATAAGAAATTGACTGTCTTAGGCACTTTTATAATTTCCTTTCATCAGGTACAGGTTAAATGGTCAAGTAGGATGTCATAATTTGAACATAAAATTATTCTTTTTGGTGCTGGGCATTAAACCCAGGACCTTGAGCGTGCTAAGCTGAGCTATGCTCACAATCCCTAAAAATCAGTTATTTTTATCATAACTCACTAACTTTAAGATGTATTATCATATATTATCTTGAAATTTACAGCTCTGAGCTAGAATGTATGCTCTGAAAGCAACTTAACTATACTGAGATAAGGAGTAGAGTAAAGCACATTGAGTGTCAGGCATCTGAGAAGAATTTAAACAGGAGGGCTAATGCTATTTGTCATCTGCAAAATTCCTACAGCAAAAGGAAAATATAATTATTTATTTGTACTTCACAAATAAGAAAATAGACTCTAATAAGTTAAGCAAGCTGCCCCAAATCACATAATTAGAAAAGGTCAGGACTTGAATACATTTTTATGGACCACACAGCCGATGATCATAGCACAAAACCATTCCCTTATAGAATATGAACTTAAATACATATTCATAAACATTTACAGTCTCTTTCGACTGCATCCATCTTCCCACTCCAGTGTCTTGCCTTTCCCATTCCTTTGTTCTTGCGCCTCTTCACCCACACCTAACTCTCAGCTCCTCTTTCATCCAGTCACTACTTTATACCTCTCAATCTGTTTTTGTTTTTTCTGAAGTTATCTTTTCCATCTCTGTCAGATGAAGATTTCCTGTTTTAAAATATCCTGTCAAAGCATCGCTAAATCACTCAACTTTTCTAATTCTTTACATTGAGAGTTGGAAGGAAAGTCATTGACTATAACTTTCTTACCTGACAACCCAGCTAGGAGAATCAAGGGAAAGAAAATGAAAGCCTCCATCATAGTCAGCCGTTTCAGCGTTGTTTGTCGGGTGAATTTCAGCGTAACTCTTCAGTAGCTTCTTTCTGAATAAATCGTGTTGATCACCACCATGTTATATATTTGAAAAATTCTCCACCCTAATTGCTAAACATTTTCACTGTGTTTAAAAATTACAGAGTAACTTTCACAAACTGGAGGGTGGTGCTTCTTGAAAGGTCATTTAAAAAATAAGCTTCACACCCCAACTCATAAATATCTGAGCTTTCATTTTTGGTACCAGGGATCAAACTATATCTGAGCTCTAATATGTGTCTATCAGATATTTTCTCCCAGAAAAAAATACAAATGAAGAAACCCATCTGAGAAAGTCATAAATTCAGCGGTTTTTAAAATATTAAGATATGGTTTATTTTCACTTGGTATTATTTTTGAACCTTCAACTGTATATGTCAATAATAAAGATCCCTGGAGGCATTTTCCTTCAAATAAATTATATGTCAATTACTTACCTCGAATTATATATTACAAGCAAGTAAAAATGCATTGACTATTGGTCATTAGTAAGTGATGAACGCATCCAGTGTAATGATGAGAAGTAATGTAATTTTATGAGGTATCAAGAACAATAGAGCTCATGTCTGAAGAATATGAGTACACTATTGGCCTTCTTAAGCTATTACATTAAACAAGAGGTCATGTGAAAATCACCTTGAGAGTTTGACTAAATCATAAATATTATAAAACAATGGAATATTGTATTCAAGTTTGGATGCCTTACACAAGGAAAATTTGAATTAATAGGAGCTTGTCCAAAAGATGACCTTGGTAATGTGAGGTTTGGAGACTTCATATGATGAGGGAGTTTGATGGCATTAGAAAATATCAGCTTGAATAAAGACAGATTTAGGAGTGATGTGCTCATTGTCTTCATCTTCACAATGACAGTCATATGGAAAAGAAATGTATTATTTAATCTCCATAGTTTTTCAGGACAGATTTAATGTGTGGAGTTCTTAAAGAAAGTTTCAACTTTGGGAAGGGGGTGAACTAGATGATTCTTGCTATCCCTTTTCATTCTGAATCCCTCAAATTTGATTGTCCTAGATTGTGTTTGATTTTACCTTTACCTTGTTTAGAAGAAGACAATACTAAATATGAGAAATGATTTTTTTAATCAAGCCACAAATTTCCAACATTAAAAGAGACCGGACTTACCATTTTCTATAATAATCAGGCAGTTTTCCCTTCTTTGTTCTTGTTCTCTAAATGACTGAGATTCATATATGTGTCATTAGGGAACCAAAAAGCCTTGGATTATGCATATATATAATTTTTCCAAATACTTTACTGTGAAAAATGTCATAATGTAGACAAGTTTAAAAACCATACAGTGAAAACCCATATATATACCAGCAAGATTCATAAGTAGTATTTTGCTATACTTGTTCTGTTACATATCTGTCAAAAAAGTAATTTTGTCGAACTTATTTTCACACTCAGATACTCATATATAGAATTCAATGCAGTAAGTTTTCACACAATGAATCTTTTTCTAATTCCAGGGCTACTGAGACTTCAAAATATCATATATAATTAATAAACAGCATTGAGGACTTTGTAAGTCAGGATACTTCAGCAGAAAGATAAAGTCTCATAAAGGGCTTACTCTGAGGTCATAGAGACTGCCTCATGGATTAGTTAAGATGTTGGCTGCATGGAAAAGGTTTTCTCTTTGTAATTATTTTCTACACTGCTTCAGAAAGCCTTTTGACTAGTTTCTTTTAAAGCATATATTTTAACTTAAGCATTTATTTCTCTCTTAATAGTGATAATTCTTCAACTTGAGGATTGTCTTCCATTTTTACCTCCCTTCACTTTTAATAGTAAGGTCAAATTTTGGATTGCAGCATGCTCAGGAAGTGCTTACCATATTCACCTATTGGAGGAGAGGAAAATGTGTTTTGAGAATCTTTGAATGGGATTCTAGACCAAGGCTATTTTTTCAAAAGTTATCATTATACTTGGGTGGAAATATCTATAACAAAGGGGTCAAATTGCCCAAGGTGTTTGTCTTCCTTCTATGTTAGTGTTGCTGTCTTATGAGAGTTTATATCTCTCCTCTCTCTCCTTTTATTTCTATAATTATAGTAATAATATTTCATTAAAGGAATATTTACTAGGTGTTTTGTTGTGATTTGGAGAAAGACAACTTACCTGCATTTTGGTGATCTTGGAATGTTTCACATCACCTTGTCTTGGGCTACCTGATTTAATCTTAACAAACCATTTGTTGTACACATAAAGAGTACACATAATAGCTTTTTCCTGCTTAGTAATTTAATCACTATTTTTCTTTTTTATTCTTCCAGGGGAGCAGTAAGTTAAATGTAATGCTTTGTTCTTTGCACCCCAGGATGGGTCTAAAGCTTGAACAAAGAGAAAAAGCATCAGCTTCATAACATTCATTAGGCTATTTGAACATGGACAAAAATATGTTTAACTGAGTCCAGCCAGACAAATTGAATGCTTGGTCTAGACTTTGAAATGTAACTCCTATTTCATGGGAGAAACAATGCCTCTTAAATTAAGCGTCATGTTGCCAAAGACGTCAGAGAGAAGCTTGCCAGTTGATTACCAAACCCCATTAAATATTTTATAATGCGAAGAGGTCAAAGTCTACCCATTGAGTAACTCCTACCTAAGTCAAGGCCCTTTGTCATTCTCTAGTTGACTTCCTGATTTGATAAGTTTACATATCTCACCCGTTCCAGACAAAGCCATCAGTTCCTAGAGAGTTTGATACTTGAGGTAGGATCTGGAATCATTTCTCTGCTTTGGGCTTTGAAGTCTTCATTCAGCACACAAAGTTTCAATGCAAATTGAATTTCAAATTTATCCAACTTCATCATTAGTTATTGATGTGACACATACACCTGACACACATATGTTATATTGATGTTCACTATTGGTATTCTAATCTTGTCAGCATTTGAAGAAATCAGAAACATGACTCCTGCTACCTTCACTTTAGTTGAACTCATATGTGACTGGAAAACAAGATATACAATAAGCCATTCTAACAGTGATGCTATAAGGTGGTTATAATAGGCATTTATTGACTTATTCTCAAGACTTTTACCATATGAAAACATTCTGGTGTGGAAGTTTGCTGATTATAGAAATAAAATATAAAATATAATCTGTTTCTTATCCCAAAATTAATACCTTTCCCATAACCATCACTATTAGAAATAATTATGGTTTTGTCTGACCATATCTTCATAATTAAGAGAAAATAATCTATCCAATATTAGTCATCAGATTTATTATATTTAACCATTCAGGCCCAGGTTTCCTATTACTTGTTTCTCAAGCCTTGTTTTTAGTAATCTCCCATGTAGTGTCCACTCATAATTAGGCTTAAAATTTCATGCTGAAAGAAAATTAAAAACTTGAAGTATTACTATAAAGATCACCATCAACAAATCTTTTATTTCTCTCTTTATACCTGCTGTTCCTCTTCTCTCAGAGACCCTATTGTCCTTTCCTTAAATCTGAGCTACCATTATTTTTCTTTGACCTATAGTGGACATGTCAGCTTTTGGTCTAAGGCTTCAAAATTCTGGCAATTTTGGATGATAGACTATAAAGTGAAAGGGGACACTGATGTGATGAAACTCAAGGCATATGCATGTAATTATCTGGGATCCCAGTAGAATGCCCTAGGCAGCATGATATGGAGTAGAAACAGCCTGCCTTTTGAGCCTAGACTGTAGAAATTTTAGACAAGTGGAAAATAAATGTGTGATCATAGTTTTAACTCACTAAGATAGTGATGAATTCTTATATTACAATAGGTAATCAACATAATATTGTTGACAAGGCAATAATTACTTTTCTACAATGAATCAGGACCCCATGAAAACTATATTAATTAATATTTATTGCAGCACTTTATATGCATTATGTCATCATATACTTAAAACAATAATTTGGAAGCATCTTAAATACGTGATAAGGATACTCAAGCAAAGATTCCTTGAATTACTGTGTTCACAGTTAACTCTAGTAAAGTGATTTTACCATGTGTATCTAAGCAAGTCAATGCTTGCCTATCTGAAATGGGAACAATCATAGAAATAGAGATTTGGAGAATTAAAATTTAGTTATACAGATCCGAATATGAGTTCCTCAATTAGCAATAAATCCTTGGCAGTGCAGAATTAATACTCAAATACCAGTCAGAACTAGAAACAGCTCTAGGTCTAGCCATGTGGAAATTCCTCAATTGCTCCAAGCATTGACTCCTAAATTGACAAGTAGGAGAAAGATATAAACATTAATTTAACTTTCACTGAGTCCTACCCTATATATTAATGCTTGGTTAACCATCTGTATGTCTCATGCCAAGTTAAGTTCTTGTTTGAGAAGAACACAGGAAAATAAACCATTTTCTAGGATAACGATTATTTTAAACTTCAAGTTAATAATTTTATGAATCTGAAGAGCAAAAATTTGCTTATGTGTATCTACATTTCCCAAAGAACTAGTTCATTAATTTTATCATACTTTCAAAATATATGGCCAAAAGAGCAATGAGAATATTGACACTAACCAATTTGAAGACTTAGTATAAAGCTTCAGTAATCAAGATAACATGATGTTGTAAAAATAATAAACAAGTAGATCAATGAGACAGGATTGAGACCCTAGAAAGAGTCACATCAATAGTCAACTTACCGAGCCCGCTGCAGACAGGCAGGTCTGTGCACGCCCTACTGAGGTCCCGAGTCGCGCTGAACACACAGAATCAACCTGCGCCCCAGCAACAATCCAAGGGACCCCCCGCCCCCCGCTCCTCTGTAGAGCCACCTGGTTCCACACTACAAAGACGCAGAGGACACCAGACCACCAGACCATGGTACTGAGTCCCGCTGCACCCGGCCGAGAGGTAGGGGCTTCTGAGCCACTGTCCCACTGCTTTCCCCTTTGCCCCTTTTCTTCCTATTTCACATGACCTATTTTACATTTAGTCCTTAGTTACACTTTCAGTTTCTCACACCAG